TCAATTCCTTCGTCATAACAATATATGTTTCGAAGATGTCAGTTTAGCGTCCTTGCAACATGTCTACTAATGCTTTTTCTCCTGATTCAAGGTTATAGTTGCAGGGTGCATCTCCCAGTGCTTTTTCTTCTGATGCTAGAAAAATCCAAAGGAGTCAATGTGGCGCCATGAAAATACACCATAACGAAATTCGCCCAGAAAAGATTTCGAAAATGACATTTGACAAGTTCAAGTGGTGTAACTCTAGAACTGACAATTCCAGGAAACGAAGAACGCAAAAAACAAAAAGTTCATCCAGGAAGATTCAAGACCGATGATTCAAAGGGCCAAAGAACGTAAAAACACATCGACGAAAAGTCCATTAAAAAAGATTACAAGCCAACACGTCTACTTGGGTAAGACTTCAAAATCTGAATTACTATAAAAGATGTCTTCTGCTACTAACTTCTATTTTAATTATTTTGTGAAATTAAGTTCTAAGATTTTATTGAAAGCATAATAGTAGGGTTTTTAAACTATGTAGTAATATTAAAATTCACAATCTTAAACCATATATCACGACTATAAATTACTCGAAATAGATGTCACTAAACGCTTATATTTTATTTCTTAAGCTTCTAATTATTTGAATCTGACATTATTCTAACACATCTTAATGCTATAAAAAAAGCTAATTCAAAAGAATTGGATCTACTTTGATCAATCTATCATAAAGCCGGTTTTAAAAAAATTTAATTGGATAAGAAAGCATTCTATATAAAGCCGATTTAAAAATAATTTAATTGATAAGTATTCTATCATAAAGCCGGTTTAAAAAAATTTAATTGGATAATATCAAAGTATAAAAATAAGCAACAACCAACACTTATTATATACCAATAATTCAATACGCTAAAATAACCTGTTACAAAAAATTATTGCAGAAAAAGAATAATTAAAACGAAAACAATGAAGCAGAAATAAATAAAAAAAAAAAATAAAATAAATCATAATATATACAATTTGACGCCTTAGAACTAGATACGACCAGGGCGGCCCTAAAAATTACGGGTCATGTGATTACGCCACAGCCGCAGCTGCAGGTAGATGGATTATCGACCAATGAGGGAAGTCAATATGAACGATCGATTTCGATTTCTCTTTTATATAGGTATGTATGGTCAATAAAACAACTAATCTCTTTAATTCAAGAAAGATTATTATTTCAATTTACTAAAATATATTACATTACAAATA